GCCCCACGACTTCTTCACTTCAGGTCTCCTCATAAAGGAGGTCCACAAAGCGACCAAAAAAGCTCAAAGGGAATAAATAGGGACATTCATACTGCAGTATGCCCAATAACAAAACTTTATTAAAAGGTTAAAAATACCGTCAAACAACAAATCGCATAAAAACACTGCACCAATGTGCTCCTTCTATGTACAGACTGGGGTCTAGTGATCTCAACGTACACCCGCTCGTCTACATGTTTCGTCATAAGACTTCATCGGGACGGCGTGCATCTTCCCCATAGCGCAGGTCCATTTGTACACATAAACAGATATAACAAGACCAAAAAAGGAGCAAACAAGAACAGTTAATTGTTTGTATTTATATACATTACATTTCAAGTACATTCACTCTGACTCACACACAGAGGCGTGCATCAAGGTTCAGAAAGAGTCATGTAGTGACTGGGGGTCAGAGTTAGAGATCAAGATAGAAGGTTACAGGGACAGAATTAGATATCAATGGATTTGAATTACATTTGGTTAAACCTATAATTGAGTGTCAGGTCCATCCTGCTGTCTTTGTATCTTTGTCTCCTATTTAGCCTTGTATCTGGTTTTATCAGTCTCTGCCTTCCTATTTTTATATCTTCATTCCATAATCAGAATGCTCATTCTCCATCGTATTCTAACATGCTTCATTTCTAGTCGAGCTATTAACACACTTTATATCCTTTAGAACTACAGTCATCTTAATCCATTCTAAACCTCTCCCCAGATCCCCATCTCTATTTGTAGCGTTAGCTGCTTGGCAGGGTTCAGGAAGGCACCCCGTAGAGGAGAGCCCATATGCTGTTTTGAATGTGTCCCTTGTCCTCAGGGAGAGATCTCTAATGACACAGGTAAGGAGATTTATGACAAATGCAAACGTTCTGGTCTTGCAGATAACAAGCTGCAGGGGATTGAATTAGATTGAATTAGGCATGTAGGAACTTTTAGTTTTAGAGCAAAACTTCCGGCATTTCTTTTTTAAATATGAAGACTAATGAGATGTACTCAACTTTCACTATATGTATCGCTGTCATTTATTTAATATTTATACTTTCATTCCAGCTCCAGCTATACTTCTAGTATTGCAGCTATGAGAGCTGCTGCTCTCCTACACAGAAGACAAAGTGTTGTATTCCCTATTAAAGGGCAACATTTGACACTTCACATTGCTAGTTCTGGAGCATGGTAGCTAGTGTGTCCAACTGTTTACAGATTGACTTTAGTCTCTGACCTCTTCTGTCCAGGCATCATTTTTATTCCGGCCTCCACTGACTTGGTTTTGATGTTTGGCCCTGATTATCCCTGCAGTGACCTAACTACCTGCTGGAATACTTAATTCAGCTTGATCTCAACTTTGAACTTGCCTAAAGAATGGTTTCACTATAGCCTGCCTAGCTGATAGTTTCCACCCCTCCTTCCCATCCAGTAATACATTTTAGAAGTAACATGGCACTATGCTCCCTTCACCATCAGAACTGCTCTGTCAGGGGCCCCTCAGCCTTAAGCTTGCCCACCATCCTCCCTCAGATAGCTGTCACTTGCCTCCATGGTCGCTGGCCACTGGCCTACTGCACAATGTTACAACACTTGGCTTGGCTTGACACAATTGTACTGACAACACATTCACATGAGACATATAAAGCTTAAGTACCAGCAAATGGTGCCATTGTGAATATGCAATAACACTTCCATTTTGTGTGAGACCAACCAAGAATTAAGACACTGCCACTTTGCATGTAGGACGAAATGGTGAAGGATGCCAGTGACTATGTGGTTGGTGGAAGGTGTGGGGAGAATATTGGAGAGCAGCAGCTAAGTAAGGGGAGAGGGCAGAATTCTGTTGTATATGAGCATCAGGACATGCACTGTTGACATTGGCCACCATTGCAACAAAACAATTTGGCAGCAAATGCTCATACTCTGCTCTAGTGGTTCTCAGCTGCTAGTAGGTGGCCAAGATTTACAAGACCTGCTGTGCATTTTGCCATAGGCCATGAGGTGAGAGGGAGGGCAGTGCTATCTCTCCCTTTCACTTCCTAGTTTTTTTATTTTACAATAACCATAGGATGTCTACCTTTACATGACAGGTGCACTTTCAAATTTGACTTCTTTTGACAACTAGTTTATAATTAGTCTTCATCTTTCAGATGCCATAGATTGTTCCAAGTGTCCATGGGATATGTGGCCGAATGCAGAAAAGGATCGATGTCTGCCAAAACCCATTGAGTATCTTTCATACAGTGAGCCATTGGGAATAACGTTGATGGCTACAAGCCTTTCCTCCTCCATGGTCCCAGCTTCCATTTTCAAACTCTTTCTTCGTTACAGGACCACACCAATTGTAAGAGCCAATAATTATTCAGTGAGTTGTATTTTGTTACTGTCCCTGTCACTCTGCTTTCTCTGTTCTTTGACTTTTATTGGTTATCCTGAGGCTGAAAAGTGTCTTCTGCGCCAGGCTGCCTTCGGGATGGCCTTTGCTCTCTGTGTCTCCTGTATCTTGGCCAAGACTCTCATGGTAGTTTTTGCCTTTATGGCCACAAAACCAGGAAGCAGGCCATAAAATGAATACATATGGATGAAAAATCACTCTCCTTTGTCCAATTTTGTAATTTCAGATGAAATTTAAGATATTCAATGTTATGTATTAAATGATTGTATTGTTGGGCATTATGTTATTCATGAATTTTATTTCTGTGTATTCCATACAGATAGTATTTAATATTTCATTTTGATAAAAAAATTATATCAATTTGACTACAGCCTGGATGAATTTTAATTTACAAAATTGGATAACACAGTTTTATTTATTTATCATTATTGCAATAATCTTTTAATATCCAACTGCAGCCAACCCAACTTTCTTTTTTTTGCTTTACATAGGGTGTGGACAGTTTAGGGGCCCTCTCAGATTCAGTCATTCCTTTCTGCCCATCGTTATTCAACCCAGAAGACTGATGACATCCTGCGTCACAGTACATTACAATGCAAACAATGCTCTCCTGCCATTGGACAGAAAGAAAATTAACTTCTTTGGCGGCATTTGTCTCTTACCTTCTTTCCCGCATTCAATATTTTCAATAGTGTTTGATGTTATGTTTCCTTCCTTTGACCCCTACATCATAAAGAGGGCACCCAGATGCCACCCCCCTCGTGAATAAGTAAGGGATAGTTGTTACCCCTGCTCATTCTCCAAATAAACAGAGGAATTTCAAAAAAAACACACTACACCGTAATCCCCCCCCCCCCCTTATTTACATAGGGGAGTGCAAAGAGTTTGACTTGGGGGAGGCCTTATGGTAGCCACTGTACAATATTTGTGGTTATTGCCCCTCAAATAATACACTTTATTTTCTATTTCTCATTTGCTCCTCCTATATTGTGGCCTAACCAAGCCCAGCGACTTCACAATATTTGTGGCTACTGTCTTTCAAATAATAAAGTTTAATGTTTATTTCAGGTTAAAATCTGCCTCATCTCTCCCTCTTATAATGCGGCTTAAGCAAGCTGCTTACATACTGACCGACCACTGAACAATATTTGTGGCTATTGTCTCAGAAGATAATACACTGTAATTTTTATAGCAAGATAGAGGGGTGTCAGAGCACAATGAAAACCAGACAAGCATAAGGTGCCAGCTACAATATTTATGAAGAACAGTGTCCACAGAAGCAGGCAAAAATCATAAACCGGAACAAGTCAAGGTCAGGAGCCGGAGTGGGTAGTCGTCCAAGCCAGGTCAGGAACACGGAGATCAGCGTGGTCAGGACCAAGCCAGGAGCAGGAACCAGGAAATCAGCGTCGTCAGGAACAAGCCGGGAGCAGGAACCAGGAAATGAGCGTTGTCAGGAACAAGCCTACACTTCTACTGTCATGGTAAACAACCTGCTTCCCTATTTATAATGGTCTGGCCCTCTAGCAACTTCAGCGCGAAATTATAGCTAATTTGCCTACAAACGTCAGGTGGTCATAATAATCTGGCCACTCAGTGTATGTCCACACAGGTAGCACAGACACCATAATCCAATCACCAATTGGATTGGATTGAATCAATTACATTACGCGTTCCCCTTGTAACTTGGTTTTATCACCTGTTGGTCCCGCCAGTAAGTCTGCTATTTTTCATCTTCCTTTAAAGGTCAGACTGCCCAGCAAAAGTGGCAGATAGAGGGTTGAGACCAACTATTTAATACTGACATCGGTCACATTTCTCCCTTCTCCTCCATGCCTGGAAGCGGGGCATTGTGTGCAGGGGACAGCATGCAGCCAGATAAGGTTTTTATAATTTGCAGTGGCCCTTTGCACATAACACCCAGATTTTTAACCAGTGAGGTGTGTAAATTACCATTTTGCTCAGGTTGTGGCTTTAACCCTTTCTCTGCCAGTGCATATCCTGTACAGTGCTGGCTGTGGGCCCCTGTAAGCAGACCCTTGGCGACTATAGCCACCAGGGATCCTGTTTACCTATGTAAAGCTGACTGTCAGCTTTACACTGGAAGTGATTCTGGAGGCTGCCATGCTTCCCGGGCTCCGCTGCCTCTCCTGCGGGCCCCAGGACTGGCATCAAAGGTGTTGGCAGGTAGCAGAAAGAGACACCAGTGAGCACTATTATGGAGCAGCCCCCTGTTCTAATGTAGGAGCTGACTGGGGCTTTGCTAACAGAAACTTATGGGGAAATTAGTCCTTTTCTCAGGAAGATGCCTGCTGGACTAGATGTTCTGGACTACAGAGTCCCAGAGTGCTGTGGGATGAGAGGGGAGTGAACTCCGGCTGGAGGAGAACTTTCTGGTTCAATTCCCCGTGCGGAGAATTGGGGTGAAGCCATGCGTCCAGAGCTGTTGTGTGCAGTAAGTTGTGGAGACTGTATCCTGTGTCCCTGTAGACACGTCTGCTGGAATGTGGGATCGACTGACCGCCATAGCCTGCCGGGTGATCGAGTGAGCCGACTGCAGTGCGGTGATCGTGGATCGCGGATGCCGTGTTGGAAGACTGGATCCAGTGCTGACTTCAGATCATACTCACTGTTCTCCTGGGTAAACTATTTCCCCTCTCGAGGATATGTGCTGACAGTGCTGAACACTCCAGATGAACACCTCTCTCCGGGATGGGTGAGAGGCCTCTGGCCTATGCTTACTGAGAACACCAAACACTGAGTCTGTTACCGAATACATTTGGCCACAACGTTGGCTAGCCGAAGATTAAACCACTGGCCAGTTGGTTAGGCACCCAGGTACATTGGGACTGAGACAGGGTTTTACTCTAACTTTTATCCTGTGTGGGGGGGAACTGTTGTCAGCACAGCCATTGCTGATCTATAGTCACCCTTCTAATTGAATCTACTATATATTTAAAGTGTTTAATGATAGAAAGTGTATTTGTGTCTACATTATTGCTGTTATTCACTTCAACATTTCAAGTAAACTGTGTTAAACCATCTCAAGGTGTGCTGGTGTGCTGTGGATCCATCATAGAGGTTTCTTATAGAGGAAACACAGGGAGATCCATTAGTTCTATCCAGCCCACCAAGCCCACCAAAGTCATGCCCCCAGCCCACTGAAGCCTCGCCTCCAGCCCGACAAAGCCCCGTCCCCACCAAGCTAGTGTGAAGGAGGGAGGAAAGAGGAAGGGAGGAGCCCGGAGGAGCCTCCCTGTCCCTCACTTGCTTGTCACTGCTGAGGCATCGAGATAGATATCCTCAGTGCTTTTTTTTGCTTTTTATGATTGGACATCTTGGACCAATGGCGCTTTGCCATTGATTAAATAATCCACAGAGCTCAAGCTTCGAACATAGAGTAGAGGCTGTTGCAGCTCTTGCCTCACTGTGTTAGGTTACACAAGCAATGGGGGAAGCCCGCTGCTCTGTAACCTAACTTAGCTGTCAAAAGTCAGATGAAGCACTGCCTGTAATTAACAGGCAGCGCTCCGTCCATGACAGGTAACACAGCGGGGAGACATTCCCTTCTGTGTAACCTGTTACAAGCCGCTCTGAATGGAGAAAAAGCTGTCCTGCATTGGGTATCATTGATCGAGAAAGAGGGTGACGCTACAAGTCATTCACTGATCTCCTCCCCGTTTAATGAAGCCGGAAGCGACACTCATTGCATCACTTCCAGCTTTTCAGCTGTCATTTCCCGACTAGAGAAGCAGAATCTGTACTTGAATAGCTTCTTTGAAGTCCAAAGGTGACATTAGTGGTATGATAGACCCCTAATGTCCCTTTAAAGGAAACCTGTCACCAATAATATCCTATATTATCATATCATATAGTGGGTTTGTAAGTGATAGCAATGAAGGTACGTAGAAAAATAGTAAATAGTTTAAAAAAAAATAAAGTTAAATAAAATAAATGTAAAGATGTAACTACAGTGGTACCTTGAACCTTTGAATCTACCCAGTTACTCCGAGCCCAGGCTGTCATAGCCCCCCCCCTTGGGGGGGGGGGGGGAGCGTAGAAGATTACAGCACTGAATGGAACTCATGTGTCATCACATGAATGCTGTTTAGTGCCACAGTAAGGACGCCAGCTGCCGCTGTCAGAGGAGAAGATGAAGAGGCTGTGACATAATTGGATCTTCTCCAATCTTTTCAACTTTACAGAAAATGAAAAAAAGAAAATTGGCTGCAGTTAGGCTTTAAAGTGGAACTCAAGCTAATTTTTTTCTTTGAATTCCTGCCTTCTGAATCAAAAGAAATTCCCAATTCTGTGTAGGCTCTCCACACTCGAGTGCTGTTACCCGTTTCCTCCTCGGTCCAGCGCTGGTGGTTCTCCAGAACTCCAGTCATGCCATTCTGCCCATCTCCTGTGAGTCCAGCTTGTTGTGTACACATCCCCTTCCCTAGTGGGTACAACATCACATGGGCTGGGTTCCCTATACTGAGGATCTGAGCGGCATTCACATGTCATAGTCATGGAAGAATGCCCATCCCCTACCGCCACTAGAAGAAGAAGAGGAAGCTGCCATAATGTCAAGTGTATATTATTTAAAAAAAACAGAAACAAAATCATAGGTAAGGGAGGGGCTTCCGGAAAGCGGGTGGTTAAATTCTGGAGTTCTACTTTAATTACAAGATCAGTAAATGTGGTCACAGTTTTTTATAGGTGCAGTCATGGGATTGGCATTTTTAATTTGAGGTATCATTTTGTGTCTCTTTTATTTGCAGACTCTCATGACTGCATCAAGTGTCCATGGGACCAGTGGCCCAATCTCCAGAAGGTCAAGTGTCTAGCCAAAGAGATAGAAATCCTTTCCTACGAGGAGCCTTTGGGAGTTTTCTGGCTGCCAACAGTGTTTTCTCCTCCAGCATTCCACCTTGTACCTTAGGACTTTTCTTTAATTACAGAAACACTGTAGCCAATAATTTTTCTCTGAGTTGCCTTCTTCTCGTATCTCTTTGCCTTTGCTTCCTTTCTTCTTAAGGTTTCATTGGATACCCCCAGCCTGACAAATGCCTTCTACAGCAGACTGTTTTCGGAATGTTCTTTGCCTTCTGTGTCTCTTGTATCCTGGTGAAGACTGTCATGGTGGTTTTTGCCTTCATGGCAACAAAACCATGCAATCAGCTTAAGAAACTAAGCAGTCCAAAAGTGTCCTACATGATCATTACCATGTGTATGTTATTTCCGTTTGTCTTATGTGTCCTCTGGATGATTTTTGCCCCCCCATTCCCTGAGAAAAATGTTCAGACTCGACCTGGGATTATTATCATTGAATGTAACGAGGGTTCCCCTACAGCTTTTTGGTGCATGCTGGGTTACCTTGGCCTTCTGGCCACTGTAAGTTTTGTAGTTGCCTTCTTGGCCAGGAGGCTCCCTGACAGCTTTAATGAGGCCAAGTTCATCACATTCAGCATGTTGGCCTTCCTCAGTGTCTGGATTAGACATGTGCACTGCCAAAAAATTCGTTTAGTTTCGTTTCGTTTTAAATTCGGATTTGTGTTATTTCGTTTTTCAGGATTCGGGTGTGAAAGTCAATTCGGATTCGGAATTCGGATTCGGACGAAATTCGGTAGCGTTCGTACGAACGTTCGTTTCGTTTTCTGTTCTTATTCGTTTCGTATTCGTTTCGTTCGTTTGCCGCAAAAGTGACATTTGAGGGGGAAAAAATATTTTTCTCCTTCTCTAATGTCACTTTGCTCCAACGAACGAAACGAATAAGAAACGAATAAGAAACGAATAAGAACAGAAAACGAAACGAACGTTCGTACGAACGTTACCGAATTTCGGAAATGGAAATTCGGATTCGTTTGCATTCGTTATGTCTGTAATTCAGAATTCGGATACATCCGAATGTCCGAATTTCCGAAAATTCGTCCGAATTTCGATTCAGAACGAAACGAATCGCACATGTCTAGTCTGGATATCCTTCATCCCGGCCTACCTGAGTGCCAGAGGAAAGTACGCTGTTGCCATGGAGGTCTTCACCATCCAATCATCCAGCTGGGCTTTGGTGATCTGCATGTTTCTCCCTAAAAGCTTCATAGTGTTATTTCGACCAAGCATGAACTCTAGAGACTATCTAATGGGAAAAAACAAAGGCTGAACCATAATTTAATGTTTGCTAGAAAAGTTAGCATGATGTGACGGGTTAATTTTACTAAACTTAGATTTTCATGTTGAATTAACATTAACAAACATCGGCAAATGTAATTGTATAGAATCCCCCGTTGCTTGCACGAATCCTTTGATTGCTCCTTCATTGCCCCTCAAGCCTACTGGTACCCTTCCTTAAATCTCTTTCAGAGGTATGGGTCAGTGCTTCCCAAGACTTCACCCTTATTACCAGTTGTTAGTTTGAATGGACTTCATGATGCATTGTGGGAGGCAAGAGACAAAGTCACATTCTCCTCCATGCCAGGAAGTAGTTAGTTTTTAACAGAAAAGTAGATTCGTGTCTGGGCTGTACATTTACATAGGGGGTTATTCACAGAGGAGCCGAAGGATCCAGCTGTAGCTTCGGCTGATCCTTCTGCTCTCTTCAGCCGCCAGAGCCCTTCGGTTCAGTTAAACCGAAGGGCTGTTTTACGGGCTAATCACAATAGCCCGTACAGCAGCCAAAGGTGGCCGAGCGGCTCAGCAAAGAAAAAAGGCATATGCTTTGGCTTGACTGAGCCGAAGTGACAGCCGAAGTGACAACTGAAGCGCCCCACAAAGGACAGCTGGGTGAAGCTGGGTGATCTCACGGCTGTCTCCGCCCAGTTGTAATGACAGATCAGCGTCCCCAAATGACAACTGGGCGGAGGCGGCCATGACGTCAGTTGTTATTCATTATTCATTTATTGTCATTCATTGGCCGGGACCTGCTAGAACACTCCAGCAGGTGTCGGCCAATAGGAAACAGTTGGGCGGGGCTACCTGTCAATGCTAGCTCCTCCCAATTGTTTTTCTTTTCTTTAAAAAAAAATCTATATTTTGACCCGGAGACTGCCAGATGACCCCGCTCGGAGCGCCGCACACCGGAGCAGCAGTGACGCGACGCTCGGCGAGGTAAGTAAGAAGACACCTGGCGCTGACTCGAGTATAAGCCGAGGGGGGCACTTTTCAGCCAAAAAAATGGGCTGAAAATCTCGGCTTATACTCGAGTATATACGGTATTTTAGTATTTATTTACATAAAAAAACATTTTAACCTTTTTTTCCTACTTTTTTTTCACTATTTTCTATTCTGCTCGGTACCACGGACGTACTGAGCAGAATAGCTGAGCCGAATGCCGCTCGGCGACATTCGGCTATTCACTCACTGCTGTTCGTCCCCTATGTGAATAGGGGCGAACGTCAGCGAGTGAGCTGCCGGAGGTTCGGCTCAGCTGACCCAGATGTTGGATCAGCTGAGTCAAAGTCTTTCTGCACTTCGGCTCAGCCAAACATGCAGAGCATGTTCGGCTGACCGAAGTGCAGCCAAAGGCAGCCGATGTATGACTGAAATCAGCCGTACTGAACCGTAGTGAATAGCCAAACGTTGCTCAGCTCACTTCACTTCGGCTGGGTTATTCACTCGACTGCCTTTGGCAACTTTGTATATAACCCCCATAGTGTTAACAAGCAGTCAATGAGCTTTAAAACAAGTCCTCACTGACCTCTGTAGCTGCAGGTACTATAAAATAATTCATTCTAGCACTTTCTCGCTTTAGCTCAAGTTGTCTCCCCCTCCTCACCCAACGGTGTTACAATTTGCCCCAATTTCCACTTTTGCTGGCCAAGTTGGTCTAAATAGTAAGAGAGAAGTGTAATTTGCACGGCCACAGCATCACCCCTCTTCTAGTATCAGCTCTTCTGCACAGAACATTTTACTGCTAGTTACTTGGCTTAGAATATTGCAACAAGGAATAAATGGCTTTATATGACATTACTCGATTACTTACCCAACTTACTGTTGGGTACCTACAGGCATAGGCCCAGTGGCGTAACAATCACCATAGTGACCCAGGCGGCCTCTATGGGGCCCGGTGCACAGTGGGGCCCCTCCAGATGCCGTGCGGGCCGCCTGGGTCGCTATGGGATCCTCTGCTGGTGGCTTTCACTGGCGGCTGAAGACGAACACGCCGCTGTTCAGACCACTGACAGTAATCTATGCAGCAGCACGTTCCTCTCCAGAGTCAATGAGAGCCAGCAGCGGCAGTGGAGGAGGAGGCGGGGGCCTGTGGTCGGCAGCAGGGGAGGAGGCGGGGCCCGGTGACGAAGAAGGAGGCGTGCCCGGCGATGGAGGGGGCGGGGCCCATCAGCGACTGTGGACAGGTAAGGAGTGCGACCAGCCCACCTGAGGGTGACCCTGCAGAGCCCACCATAGAGAATCTATGGTGGGCTCTGCAAGTTCACCCTCAGGTGGGATCTCGAGTGGGCTCTGCAAGGGGTATAACTATAAATCACGGGGCCCCATACAAAATTTTGCCTGTGATTTCTAGTTATGCCCCTGCACATGCCTATACAGGTATGAAAGCCCAACTTCACCTTTAGCAATAAAATAAATAAAATTGCCCAATGTTGTTGGTGTCTCTGGCTATGTCCTCCACAGACTCACCTCTCTGTCCTGCAGCTTGAACCCACTGTTATTTCCTGCTGACCACCTGGTGGGATCATTATTACATGACTAATGTTCCTTGCAGCATTTAGAACTGGCTTCCTAATTGGAAGTCCGGCTCTGCATGTAAAATAATAAAAAAGAATTATAAATTAACTCTCCGTACATGGAAAAACAACACATTAATATCAACCAAACAATATAAGAACAGAACAGGTTTTTCAATAGTTGTCCTTTGACATTTATGTCATTGTAAAGGACTCAGCTTTATTTTTTGTTGAGTATATCCTCCTGGGGACGTCTCTTCTTGGAAAGCATTCAGATCCACAAAACTGTTATTATAAATTGCTGTTTTCCTGCAGGAAAAAAATAATGACAGGCTAATTAGGGAATTGCAATCAACAGATACAATTATCTTTCTTTTATATAAAGGCTGATTTATGTACAGAGACATACTGATCACAGAAGGCTATAAGGAAAAATGAGGTAACCTATGCTGTGGCTAGGTGGAAATGGGGGAAATTAAGAAAAATGTTGAAGGGACTCAACAAAATCCAACATTAGTGTGCATGTCATTGAGTGAGAAAAGGCAGGAACATACAGTATTGTACTGACTCCATGCACAGTATTTATACACTTTTTATTAGGCCATATTTTGAAAAGGAGAGACAACAGTCTCTCCTTTCACCTTCACCTTAGAGTGTGTAAGTTCACAAATTTATTAGTGACAAATCACCTTAGAGTGTGTAAGTTCACAAATTTATTAGTGACAAATCACCTTAGAGTGTGTAAGTTCACAAATTTATTAGTGACAAATCACCTTAGAGTGTGTAAGTTCACAAATTTATTAGTGACAAAGAGCACAGACTGGAGCTCTATATATTAGCAAAGCACTGCAAACAGGATTTGAACGTGCTCATGGAAACCCCTTTGGATTAAAAGGCTAGCACCTTAACCACTCAGTTGTTGGACTACAATGTAGATAGAACTCTGATGCTTGGTCTGGTGTGGACATGAACTAGTCCGGAGACTTTCGCTTGCAGTGAACCTACATTGGTTCAGCTTCACTGCCACAAATCTTGCATGTGCCCCAGTGTAGGGTCACCTGTTAGCTGGTATTTGAAAGGTGAAAGTGGGACATGTTGTCGATGTTAAAATTAATACTGATACTCCACTCACTGATTCAGCCGTGTGTGCTAAAGTGTATGTAAAGGTCATTTTGTTCTTTAGTTTTGGATAGAGTGGTGACAGGTTAGGACCTTTGTCAAGTTTTATAGCTGCTGTGTCCTTGCTGGGGAAATGTACTCCTCTTTTTAGTTTGTTCTAGTAAGCAATGTCACAGAGACAGAAGATTTTAGAGTTCTCTCCAGAGCAAGAGGTGAGGGACAATTTTCCAATGGGTTTCAAAGAGGTTCCCACGGCACTCCTTACTGGTATGTCCCTTTTAAAGTGGGTGCTGCAGTGATAGTGGATGACACCACTTTAAATCCAAGTAGTAAAGTATATCACCAGCACACCAAAGTAGATCTTCAACGTGTGCTCATTTTATTGATGTACACACATCTCGTCAAGACTTTATTGTACAGACATCTCGTCAAGACTTTATTGTACAGACATCTCGTCAAGATTTTATTGATGTACACACATCTCGTCAAGATTTTATTGATGTACAGACATCTTCTCATTGAAGATTTTACTTTGGTGTGCTGGTGATATACTTTACTACTTGAATTTTCCAATGGGGATACCTGTTATTGGGACAGCGTTCTAAGATGGGAAGTCTATTCACTTTAGGGGGATATCTTCTCAATTAATGTTGCCTCTCCAGGACAGGAAGTGAAGGGAACAGCGGGCTTGTGCCCAGGAGTGTCCCTAGTCTTTCTTCCACTTGAGGCATGCAGCGGGGTGGGGGCGTGGGGGTGCTGGATGCCGCTAACAGCCGGGAGGGGAGATGTGTAAAGGCTTTGCATCTCCCAGCCTAGCTCTTAGCAACCTGGGACACTCTGGCCAACGTCCCGCCAAGCTCCTGACAACCAGTGAGGTCACTGGTTATCAGGAGCTTGATGGGATGCCGGCAAAAGCATCCCAGGCTGCTAAGAGCTGGGCCAGGAGATGTGTTTGGCCGCTACACAACCTTGGATGCTTTGGCTGGAAAGGGGGTGGCAGTCACAATGCACACATAGTTCAGTGTGCCTGCACCATTTGACCCAAAGGAATGTCACCTGAGCCTCAGGCTGCTGCATTAAAGGAACGGCCCTGCTTGTGCCTGTAGGTGGCAGTGGCAAAGAGGTGGCTTTTCTCTATTTAGTTATTGGTCACATATTTATTTTTCCCATCAGTAGAAATTCAGAAGATAAAATTATATGAAACATTTGTATTTATTTAGTAGCCAACAGCACAATGTGAAAAGTACCAGACGTAAAAAAAATAAAAATATATATATATATTTTTAGTATGCAAAAACACATATCCTGGTTGGGGAAATATCAGCTACAAAACACAACTCTAACCCATAAAAACAATAAAAACAGATGCAATACATACAAGCCCCTCCCATCATTTCCAAGATGATTAGATGCTTTTAATGGATATAAGAATAAATATTTAAACAAGCGCAAAAGATCTTGAAAGATACAATAAATACACATAAATCACATGGAATACAGTAAAAAATATATAAAAATAAAATAAGCCAATAATGTATAGCTAGCACATACTAGCACATTACAGCTAATAGCTCCTGGGAGCCCTTTTTTCAAAGTATGACTTTTTTTTCCACTTTAAGATGCAATATTTCATACTTAGCTGAATAAAAAAGAAAATGTTTGTATTATTTGTTTTATTTTCTATCTCCGACCATAATAAATAAATAAATAAATAAAATACGTTTAAAATAAAAACTGCATGTGTTCCCTTTAATTAAGGGCCCTGACATGTTCTCTTTCGTTCAGGCTGGAGTGCCATATATACTGCTGCTTGTGGCATCTGTTCCTCTCGTACCTCATTCCGGTCTCCTACTGCAGTGACATGGGGTGTAGACTGCGCGCTTCCCAACTCTCCGCAACCACAGGCCATGGGGACATCTTGATTGGGACTTTGCTGCCTTTCCATATTGATAAACTGTTCAAGAAATTCATGTTCAGAGAAGCCCCTTCAGAAGACATCTGCTCCATGTAAGACCCTATTGTATGTGAAATGCAAAAAATAGTCTACATCGTCATGGGGCAGCTTATGTATTTCTGTGCCATCCTGCAGCAATAAAGTCGACCGAGGTAGCTATTTATTTGATAAGATGTACTATGTATGTATGTCCATATTTCAGTTGCAAACAATTTGGCATCTTCATGGCTTCACAGGATTTACATACGGGGTTGGGCTCTAAATTCTTTAGCATGCCCCGATCCTGCTCATAGAGAATAATAGTGGCCTCCAGGGATTGCAGTTATTTTCTCATGCCAGGGTCAGTGTATGCATGGCATTCCAGAGCTCAACTGCAGGAGGGGGACACTACTCAGACCAGGGCAGTGAGATCATTGACTTGTCTGCATCTGCAACTGTATCTACTTACCCTTTATGGCCACATACTTGCGTACAACCTTTAAATTACCCCATGGTTTTCCTTTCCCTCTGTTTATTTCTTCCCTGTCTTCTCCTTTATCCTATACTCTTCTGTTCATTTCTCCCCTTATTTTCCTATCCTCCCTATACCTTTCTTTCCTCTCCTTTCTTCACCTTCTCTCCTTCTACTATACCATTTACTTTTCTCATTCCCTTCTGTACTTTTCCTGCATTCCCACCTCTTCTCTCATCCTCTTCCCTCCCATTTCTGTCCTCTCCTTTTTTCTCCACTTCTACTTCTGCTTTAGGGGTTCTCATGTCTTCTTTTAAAGCCTCTACTATCCTATCCTCTCTTCTATTCCCTCTCCTCTCACTACTCTCCTCTCCGGTACTCGTTTGTCCATTCCCTTGTTTTGCTGTCATTCCTTACCTTCCTTTCCTTTCCTCTCTTCTCTTCTCCTTTTCTTCTTCTACCACACCATCTACTTCATTCCTTTATCTACCCCTCTTGTCCTCTTCTCTCCTCGCCACTCTTTCCCTATCCCATCCTCTTCCCTAATCCTCTACCCTCAGACTTCTGTCCTCTCCTTTTTTCTCTACTTTTACTTCTCATCTCCATCTCACTTCTCATCCCATCCTCTCCTCTAATCCCTCCCCTCTCAACTTCTCTCCTCTCCTGTACTCTCTTGTCAATTCCTCCCCTTATTTCCTGTCATTCCCTTACCTTCCTTTCCTCTCCTCCCTTCTCCTTCTACCTTCATTTCCTCTCCTCTCTTCTCCATTTCTCCTTCTACTTTCCTTTCCTCTCCTCTCCTCTCTTCTCCTTTTCTCCTTCTGCCATTCCATCTACTTCATTCCTTTGACTCCACTTCCTGTCCTCTCCACTCTTTCCTATCCCATCCTCTTCTCTCAATTTCTTCCCTCCAACTTCTGCCTTCTCCTTTTCTCTTCACTTCTACTTCTTCTCTCCTGTCTGCGTCTCTTCTCCTCATTTTTCTACTTTCCCATCCTCTCTTTGAATCTTTTCCCTCCCACTTCTCCTGTCCTTCCTTTTTCTATCTTCTCCACAGTTCTGCTCCTCTTATCTCCTCCTCTCCCCTATATACGTATTTTTGGATCTCCAGCTTTAGAAAAAAAGAAAGCCAACATCTCCCTTCTCATTTCACATATTCAGTTTTGTTGTTTCACCCTCTAGGTTCTTCCTTGAAATGTTCCAGCATTTCCAGGCCATGAGGTTTGCATTAGAGGAAATAAATGGAAACCCGGATCTTCTCCCAAATGTCACTCTCGGATTAATTGCTTTCGACTCTTGTGCTGCTTTACGGAAAGAGCTGGAAGGAACAATGTGGATGCTATCGGGTCAGGTTCCGCCTATACCTAATTATAGTTGCCGTGACAAGCCACATCTGGCAGCTGTCCTTGGCCATACAATGTCCTCATCTTCTGTTCTTATGGCTCATATAATGGGACTTTATAGGTTCCCACAGGTAAGAAAGACATTCTGAGTTTGTGAAGGATGTTGGAAGAACATCATGAATAATGTTGTTTTTAGTGTTTGGGTGGAAACTTCTAAAGTTTGGAGGTAGACAGGCCTCCATTTTTAGTGATTTAAAAGTGCAATAATAGATACTTAAAAAAAATAAAACATAGTAAAAGTGTTAGAACGGGTTAGAAACTGTTTTTTTTTTTACAAATGCCCGTGTCCCCATTATGGAATCTTACTGTTTTTAACTCCTGGTGGAGGACACAAATTAGCATGATGACAACTTTTTCACAGGTTTGCAATTGCTAAAAATCCAAATGACTTTCCGTTCATGAGCATTTGACGCTTGCACAGTAAATGCAAATGTCATCCGGATAATCCAACATCATTGTTGGGACCTGGTAATTAATTTGAGGAAGGAATAGCATATGTTTTTCTATCTTTTACCCTTTTTTATATTTTTCTTTTTACATTTTTTCATTTTTCCTCATGGAGGGATTTGGATTTCGTCAGTGAAGACCTGACCCACACCCTCCATGCAGCTGTGCTGCAACAGATAACTTCTAATAGTGATCTACTGCTGGCTGAAATCAGCCAGCAATAGACCACTATAGCAGTGATCCGTTGGTGCAAAGAGATGCTGTTCAGAGCTGTCCCAGTCTCAGTACTAAGATGAAGTGCCGTGTCATCACTTGTGATGTCACTACTCTCCCAATGTAATCATAATGCGGGAACATTGTGTCTACATCGATGTGCTGCAAGTGCTTCTATGGAGTGCTGTATAGGAAGGTCAGAAGCCCAGGGCTGAATGTTTTAGAGCCTGTGCTTAGTGCTGGATGCTGGCTGTTACTGAAATGCAGCAGGTCCAGCCAGAACTCCCGTACAAGACCTGCAGGAGTGATGGTTCTAGGTACCCTTTAAGACTGTGCTGGGACAAATAGCTGCTGTCCCAGTACAGTTTTAGAACAGCACCTTGGACTTAAGTGGTTAAAGGCAAAATGTTTTGCATAATGATGACCTTGTGTTAAGAATTTAAATTATTTTAACATTATATACTTTACCTCTGCAATGTTTTACAGATCAGCCATTTTTCTACCAGCTCCCTGTTGAGTGATCGAACCCAGTTTCCGTCTTTTTTCAGGACTGTCCCCAGTGACACTTTCCAGTCACAGGGCCTAGCCCAGCTCATACTACATTTTGCATGGACTTGGGTAGGGATGATTGCTTTAGGAAATGACTACGGCCAGCAAGGTGTTCAAGTTGTCAAGGAGGAGCTCCTCAAAGCTGGTGCTTGTGTGGCCTTCACAGAGTTCATCATTGTCAACAGTGACGACAGAAACATACCTCGTATCACTAGGGTCATTAAAGGGTCAACTGCCAAGGTCATACTTGTGTTTGCGAATGAGCTCTACTTTGCTCTCCTTGTGGATGAAATGTTAAGGCAACATGTGCCTGGGAAGATTTTTGTGGCCAGTGAGGCTTGGTCGACCTCAACCATTTTAGGGGTGGAGAAATATTCTTCACTATTGGTGGGCTCTATTGGCTTTGCCTTCTACAGTTCTGCTATTCCCGGCTTTAAAGAATTTGTGACCCATATCCGTCCTCTTCCTGTCAAAGGTCCAGGCGATAATCTGAATCAGATATTTTGGGAAAAAACTTTTGGATGCAGATTTTTGGATCAGATGAGTCTTTCTCAGCCACGGAACAATTCTACAAAGTTATGTACAGGATTTGAGGATCTCAGCACTGTAGACAATGTTTACACTGATATGTCTAATTTAAGAGGGTCTCTTAGCATCTACACTTCAGTTCAGATTGTTGCCAAAGCTCTCCATGACATGAGCACTTGTCCGGAAAGTAGAGACCCTTTCTATAACAGAAATTTTACAGACATTTGGAACTTCAAGCCGTGGCAGGTGAGATTAGTTAGTTTAACTCAAAAGACAAGCTTTTATTAAAATGGTCAGCCTGATGGCTAAGCTACATGGAGAATTAGTAATTTGCTGCTCAGTGAATTTATTTTTCTGCAATTGTGTAATTTACCACACATTGTGCTGAAAAAAGGATGAGTATCAGTCTCCGATGACAGCTGATTCCACCCCCGAATCGCCGGCCTGGACTCCTGTGACAGCTGACATCTGTCTCCGCCCCCACACCGCCGCTCTCCATCCTGATTTGTCACAGCCGAGGAGAGCTCAGCCTCTTGTGATAAGCCGGCCGCTCACAACGCTCTCCCGCACCGCTCGGCCTCCTGTGACAGTTTCTCTCCTCACTGCTAGATGCTGTGCTATGTCAGAGGAGACACAGAGCAGGGCACAGTGGTGTGGAGAGAAACTAAGGGGGTTATTCACTCAGCCGAGTGAATAACCGGGCCGAAGTGAAGCGAGCCGAACGCTATTCGGCTATTTACTTCAGCCTTGTATGGTTGATTTCAGCTGTACATCGGCTAAAATCAGCCGTATATTGGCTGCCTTCGGCTGCCTTCGGTCAGCTCTGCATGTTCGACTGAGCCGAAGTGCAGGAGGAGTTCGACTCAGCCGATCCGACATCTGAATCGGCTGAGCCAAAGCTCTGGCAGCTCGCTCATTCTCATAGGGGCTGAACGGCAGTAAGTGAATAGCCGAATGCAGCAGAGTGGCATTCGGCTCAGCTATTCTGCTCGGTACCTCCGAGGTAGCAAACAGAATACAAAAAAAGTTAAATGAAAGACAAAAATGTTGAAAAATTATTTTAAAAATATTTTAAAATAGGAAAACTCCCGCCGCATAATGAAGCATCTGACAGATGCCGGAAAAAAAACAACAATTGTGCGGAGCTAGCGGTGATCTCGAGCTCTGCACAACTGTTTCCTATTGGCCGGCACCTGCCAGAATCTTCTAACAGGACCCAGCCAATCAATTACAACTTCAGCTCCATAGTGAATAACCCTCTATATGTCCAAAAGTTGAAGCTGAACCAAAAATTGATCTTTCAACACAATAATGATCTGAAAGACTGTAATCCCTTCACCTCGGAGAAGCAAGCGGGTTCTGTAGCCTGAGGCTTTCACCAAACGGGAGAAGAGGACATACATCTTTGGCCTCCATTGGATAAGAATAAAGGCTTTCGACCATCAGGGATCTGGTGAGTGCATTCCCTATAGGGGACCTGCCTGCCTTTTTTTTTTTTTTTCCTATCGTTTTTTCGTTGCACACTTCATAATATTGGACATTTCTTTTGTTTTTTTCCCATCCTTCTGGGCTTTTTTTTGTTTTGAAGATCGGAGAGCTTTAAGAACTTTGGGTGCATTTTTTATATTATAAGTGCATACTTCGACTTATTTTCGAAAGAAAACAACACAGACTGTTTTATATTGTGATATATTTATTTCTCACATATATGACACATGTTTATTTATTTATTTAATATTTTTTTCACAATAATATTTTTTTCACATATATGACACATGTTCTTTGAAGATTTTTGTTTATTTATTTAATAAGGTTCATGTATGACACGCCTTTTATGACACCTGCTGACACATTTTATAACGTACTATAAGTTTTTACACAAATATTTATTATATATACACTGTTTCACGATTGCTTGACACGGAGGTGACACCATATGATCCCTACCGTTATCTAATTTCCTGAAGGGCATTTAGCGCTGTACACTTCATTACACCATTATTCTGTAGGCTTTTAGCCTGAGTTCAGCAGCTTTTTTCCTTTTTGGTTTTAGAAATTTTAGCTCCGGGGTCATATTAATATCTATTTTAAATTTTAATCCATCTTAATTTAGTTTTACTATTTCCGTTAGCGCAAGTTAGTTTGGTTCAATGATCTGAAACATACTAGCAAATGCACCATGAAATGGCTCCAAAAGAAGAAATTGAAGCTTATCAACTAGTCTCGATGGTAATGGTAAGGTAATTGACTTGAAATGGGCAGTTCCTGCTAAAAAACTAATTTTTCCACATCAACTAAACTTTTCCCATGGTCTGCATAACTTAAATCTAAAATCAACCAAAATGGTGGCCGCTAACATCATCACTGAGTGACCACACAGGCTCCTGTGGTGAAATACACAGTACACAGGAAGTACTATCTTGTGCACCACAAATTGCAACATTCAATGCACCTGAGGAAATTTGCTCCCCCCTCCTCCACTGTTTATCCTGCCCACCTGTCAGCCAAATGGTGGACATGCTGGATAGATTCATGGTTTTGATTGGTGTTTTGTACTTGGCATACCAAAGTTGGATAGAGGTGGCAACAACCGAAACATAATGAATATTTCAAGGTCATCAGTTCTTAATATTCTCTTTCACTACAGTTGAAGCAATACATTCAAAACATACACGTCAAGCTTAAGAATGGAAGAGAGGTCTTCTTTGATAAAAATGGGGATCTTCCGGCAGTATATGATATAGTGAACTGGCAGCCGGGATCGGAGGGTGTCATAAAGAAGGTCAAGGTGGGAAGCTACGACACATCAGTCACCGATGGAGACATCTTTACTATTAACATAAGCGCAATCACATGGCCTACAGGAAAAGGACAGGTATGGCATGGAGGTTAGCATGAATTTTCAAGATATATTCATTCTTAAGAAATCTTACCGATCTTTGTATTTTTTCTGAAGATCCCAACATCAATCTGCAGCGAGAGTTGTTCTCCGGGTTTCAGAAGAGTTGTTAGACAAGGAGAACCTGTATGTTGCTTTGAGTGTATCCTGTGCCCCAATGGAGAATTTTCTAACAGAACAGGTTAGTATTTAAAATACATCTAGAGCCAAAGATTTTTTTTTAGATAGTGCATGGCAATGTTTCTCAACCTTTTTTCATGCATACTTTCTAGGTAGGGATGCACCGATACTAGTATCGGTGCCGATACCGAGTATTTGAGCGAGTACTCATACTTGCCCAAATGCTCCGATGCCTTCCCTGATACTAGAACTTCCAGTCAGAGGTAGATTTCCTCTGACCGGCAGTGCCATAGAGGAACATGAAGCCACCTGGCCGTGTGATCAGGAAGCTGGGTGGCGAGTAATGACCTGCCTCCCGGCTTCCGCATTGTCCAGATAGCCATGCCCATTCTGATTGGCTGGGAAGCTGGCTTCCTGGCCAATCAGCATCGAGAAGGCCGAACACCCAGCTCCATGCCAATTGGCCTGGAAGCCAGCTTCCCAGCTAATCAGCATCGATCCGGCTGAACAGGCGGCCCCATGCTGGTTGGCAGGGAAGCTGGCTTTCCAGCCAATCAGCATCGAGCTGACTTACTGGCAAATCAGGAAGCTGGGAGGGGGGTCATTACTGACTCGATGCTGATTGGCTGGGAAGCCAGATTACCGGCCAAGCTCAATCAAGCAGGTTAGACAACATGGAGCCAGCTTCTCGGGCAATCAGATTGTCCGGGAAGCTGGCTCCATGGCAGCAAAAGCACCCTTATCGACGAGTACCGAAAGCAAAGTATCGGTATTCATACTCAATACTAAAAAAACGGTATCGGTGCATCCCTATTTATAGGAATGCAAAATCTCTAGACACCTCAGTCAAGCCCCAAAATCCATACCAGATCGTATCGCAGATAGGGAACTGGTATGGATTGTAAAGGGGGCCCCCCACAAAACACAAAAAAGCAGGCCCCTTTGAGTCCCTGTTTTAAATCAGGAGTCCGCACCCTTTTCACATCAGAATCCCCTTTTCACATTAGAAGCCCCTGTCACATCAGGAGCCCCCACATAGCCACCTCCTTTCACATCATAGCCCCCCCTTCACACCTCATGCCCCCCTTCTTCAGAACCTCCTTAACATTAAGATTAAAGTATGGCTTTAGAAATACTTTAAGAAGTTGTTTTAAACATTTTCATAAAAACAAAACTTGAATTGGTCTTTTTGTTTGTGTTTCTCATTCAGACTCAGATGACTGTTACAAATGTCCCCGGAACCTGTGGCCTAATGCCGAAAGATCCAAATGCATCCCAAAGACAATTGAGTACCTTTCTTATGATGGGCCATTAGGTTGCTCCTTGACTGCTACAGGTGTCTCTTCATCCTTAATGACAGTTTTTATCTTGTGTCTGTTCTTTCACTACAGACATACTCCCATCATCAAAGCCAACAACTACTCATTAAGTTGCATTCTTCTTATGTCTATAGCCCTCTGTTTTCTCTGCTCCTTAAATTTCATTGGATATCCTCAAACTCTTACATGCCTGATGAGGCAGGCAGTGTTTGGTATGGTCTTTGCAGTCTGTATTTCTACAGTTCTGGCCAAAACCCTCATGGTTGTCTTTGCCTTCATGGCCACCAAACCTAATAGCAGACTCAGACGATGGACAAGTCCGAAGGTGTCCTACATGATAATTTCTACTTGCTCTGTTATGCAGTTATTGTTATGTGTCGTGTGGTTGACTTTGGCTCCTCCATATTCAGAATACAACACCCAAGCCCAACCAGAAATCATTATAGCTGAGTGCAATGAGGGTTCATCAAGTGCTTTTTGGTCCATGTTGGGTTATCTTGGCTTGCTGTCATCAGTCAGTTTCATTGTAGCCTTTCTGGCTCGCACACTCCCTGATAGCTTCAATGAGGCCAAGTTCATCACTTTCAGCATGCTGGCCTTCCTGAGTGTCTGGGTGTCTTACATTCCAGCTGCTCTTAGTGCTCGTGGCCAATATGTAGTGGCCATGGAGGTCTTTGCCATCTTATCATCAAGCTGGGCCCTGGTGATCTGTATGTTTCTTCCAAAATGTTTCATCATATTGTTTAAACCCAGCATGAACTCTAAGGAATATCTCATGGGCAAAGACAAACCAGGAGCAAAGCAACAGTTACAAAGCCACATCTTACCAAATGTATCTAAATGAGCCAAATGGACATGGAGTTTAGCATTCATGGCCAGGTGCTGCTCATAATAACCACAAAGGATGGTGCTGTTCAGGATCCATATGTAGGAAGCAAAACGCCAGCAGCGCTCCAGCTATTTGTTTATGTCAATATACCTTACTGTAACTGCTAAGACCCAGATGACCCGCCCCACCCACCTAATGTGTCATAATTCTAGCAAATAGTGTCAATAAATGCTATGCTAATTCATAATAATGTGTAGGACACCTTAGTGTTGATGTACTTAAGGTTGCTTTGCAAAGTCAATTTTCATTGTGTAAGGGAACTGACATTTAGGGGTTTATTCACTAAGCTGCATCGGCTCCATTCGGCTCACTTCACCTCCCTTCAGCTCGGCCGGGCAGCCTCAGCACATTGAGCCGAATCGGAGGGAAGAAGCAGTTTGCCTCCGCCGATGCAACATCTGGATTGGCTGAGTGTTTGGCAGTTCTTTTCCTGCTGTTCACCCCTCTACAGCAGGGACTGAATTGCAGAACGCTCGGCTCATGTTTGTCATTTCGGTCATTTTATTCAGTACATCACAGGTGAAAAATGTGATTGTTAACAAACAAAAAATAAAATTAATGCGGGGTTCCCTCCCCAAATTATACCAGACTCTGGTATATGTTAGGGGGGACCCTTCATACAAACAAGCGCCCCCCCCTCCCTCCTGCATCATACCAGGCCACATACTCTCAACTGGGGAGGTTGCTTTTCCAGGGGGGGGGCCCCTGGTGAATAAAATGAAGTTGATCAGATCAATGGAGCTATCAAACAGTGCAAGCAGCGGGGGATTCGTCCATTAATGCTTGTAAGCATTGATGAAGGGATCTGTCCTTTTCTTTTCCTTCAGTCCGCGGGTTGAATGAAAAAAATAGGAACGTGTATACCTGGCTTAAGACTAGTAGTCAGTGGCAGTAGTGCTAGGGAGGCATCTTCTAGGGAGGCACCGATACTGATACTTACCAGCCAATCAGCATGGAGCCAGCCAAACAGCATGGAGCCGGCTTCCCAGCCAATAGGGAAGTTGGGCCATGGGTGATGACTCCCGGCCTGGCTTCCTGTTTGTCCGGGAAGCTGATTCCATGCTGATTGGCTGGGATGCCTGCTTCCCGGGCAATCAGCATGGAGATGGCCAAACAGCATGGAGCCGGCTTCCCAAGCAATCAAGAAGCTGGGCAGGGGTTAATGACACACTGCCCAGCTTCCTGTTTGCATGGGAAGCCAGCTCCATGCTACCAGAAGTACCGGTATCGGTACTCGAAAACAGCGAGTACCGAAATATAAACATTAGTACTCGATACCCTAAATCCTGTATGAGGTGTATCGCTAAAATCTTCATTATTTTATGTTTAGATCCACTTTAAAGTAAGAGAACTTTCAAAAGAATGGAAAGAAAGACAAATATTTTGGCACAGTGTAGAATGAATAATAAACTTTATTGACTGCCCCATAAAGCCTTGAACTTCAGTACATAGGAAAGTGGGTTTAGCGTTCTCTACCCAACAATGTTGCATCTTCCAAGGTGTTTGAAGTAGAATAACAGAGCTAAAAGCTTACAGTAGTTTAAACTGACAGAATATGCCGGGCTATTGTAGATAAATGTCCATCTTTTAAAAATTGATAAGGTCGTCACTCGCACATCGAGGTCCAATGCACCAGATATACATGGCATCATATACAATATCGATCTTTCGGAACCCTCAATGGTTTCTTCATCAGTAAATATAGTTTTCTTCCAATAGAGACAGTTCTTGTATACAGGCTGCTTGTATATGTTGAGGACTCCAGTGGAAAGACTTTTCTGTTATAATTTCTGGTTCTGCTCCTTCTTACTTTGGAATATTGGATGTTCACAGCCACTTTGGGGTGCTTTCACCCCCTCTGTTGCCTCCTTTATTGACGTGAATTCCAGACAAAATCACCACCTTCTTGCAATCTTACATTTTCACTTTTATCTAACTCTTTTAACTCTAATTTCTGATATTCTATACTTCTACTTTCTATCACAATTATTCATTTTTGTTACATCCTGAAAATAAACGGTAAAAATAAATTCAACGCAAATGCAATCAACGACTACCTATTTATTGCAATAAACTCTAATGCTGAATGAGATGCACACTGTCATTCACAGAAAGGGTGAAGAGTTTGGAGAAGGCCGGAGAAGTGAACAATCTAGGACAACATAGCTGAACTGGAAAGTGATCTGAATTGGAGAATTTTTCCAAATCAGCGATGTTGTCCTAGATTGTTCACTTCTCCCGCCTTCTCCAAACCCTTCTGTGAATAATCCTGTTAGTATTTATTGCCTGAGGTATAAATCTGAGGTATTATAATTAGGGCTGTGGAAATTAAAGATTAATTTCTCGATTAATCGTTAAACTTTTTGATCGATTAAAACTATTTTGATCGCTAATGAAAACACTCACCTCTCCGCCGGCTCCCGGAGTCCCGTCGGCAATCCGGTGACGCCACGGACATCTACGTCACCGGACTCCTCCCCCATTCCCCAAGTGGCTCAGTCGGCTAACAAAGGGAAGGGGGGAGGAGTCTGGTGACGTCGATGTCCGTGGCGGCTAACGAAGGGAAGGGGGGAGGACGATGTCCGTGATGTCACCGGACTCCTCCCCCCTTCGTTAGCCGACGGAGCCACTTGGGCCGGTGAGTTTGCCCAAGAAACTTTCTGCATGAGCGCCAGCCAAGGCATTGGCCTATACACATACAGCACAGCAATGAAGTAATAAAATGAACTAGGATCACACTAATCCAGCACGTTATTATTCTGAGTTGCCCCACTCAAGCGGTGGCCATATTGAGTGGGGCATGTGAGATAAATAACGTGCTGGATTAGTGTGATCCTAGTTCATTTTATTACTTCATTGCTGTGCTGTATGTGTATAGGCCAATGTAATTGGATAATTAATTTGTTATATTAATCAAAATTAATCGATTAAAAATGTTTTGATTATTCGAACACGAAAATTTTAATCATTACCAGCCCTAATTATAATCTACATATGTTTTCTTTTATTTGTAGTTATTATTATACAGGATTTGCGCAGCGCTTTACAATATAAGGAAAACATTACAAACACAATACAATTCAAGAGGGCCCTGCCCCTGAGGGCCTACAATCTAAGAGGGATCGACAAGTGATACATGAGGAGGGAGCTGTGTGGGCATGAATTGTCTGAGAACGTGATGGTTGAGCGGTTGGGTTAAGGTGGGATAGGCTTCCCTGAAGAGATGAGTCTTAAGGGATCGCCTAAAGGCAGTCAGAGTGGGAGGCAGACGGACAGGTTGGGGTAAAGAGTTCCAGAGGATGGGAGAGACTCTAGTGAAGTCCTGGAGGCGAGCATGGGAGGAGTTGATGAGGGAGCTGGAAAGCAGAAGGTCAGCTCACAAGTTAAGTCTTAAAAATTGTCAAAAGTTCAATCTATACAGACACTAGATGAATGCATCATATTGCCACTGCAATTTGAATTTGATGGTCGAATGTGGATATGAGTGGCTTTGGAGGAGGGAGTCAGGGGACTCAGTAGACATGCCTGGGACTTGGAGCCAAACAATAGTAACTGGCCAGATCTAACCCAGCCAATTGAGTCTCTCTTTATGAAAGTTTAGTCAGGGGATATACTGTATAGTATGGTCAGGGGGATCATCGGGACTTGATGGTGTCTGGTCAGATAGAGTACAGGTCATCCTATATCTGCAGGGAATTAAACAACACCACGCTCTGCATCAACTCTTGTATCATACAAGGTGCCAGCCATTAAATTGTGGTGATTTACTAAAGTCCAAAAGATCACCAAGCATGTGTTCTCTACAAACAGCCAATAACAGATCCAATGGTTTAGTGATTTGGTATACCTTTATTAAATGACCATCTCTAAGCCAGTGTAATTCTGGCCAGGGACCGGCTGTTGTCTTTATCCAGAGGCATTGACAGATCCATTCCCACTCTAATGTTTCAGCAAAGTGCTGGGACTGGCCTTATCTTCTTTCAAACTGGTATGCAGCAAATGTGAATAGTTTGCTCCCTTTATCCACAGAACAGGAAACAACCTTTATGTGCTAAAACAGAGCTCCTATCATCAGAAGTCCTCATTGCCACTTTTTCAGTATAGCCTACATGGCTTAAAAGTTGACTGGTTTGTTACAATTGGTGATGGCTTCTCACTATTATGTATGGTCAGCATGAGTGAAATATGTAGCCTTGTACACTATCTATTGCTTTACAACCAAAGGGGAGACAATACAATACAATACCATACAAAAGGATTAGAAGGCCCCGGCTCATGAGAGCTTACAATCTACAAGGAGGGGCAAGTGGTACAGAAGGTAATAACTGTGAGGCATGAGCTGATTGAAGGAGTAGATGCACAGTTTTTAAGATGAGGTGGCTTCCCTGAGTTTTCAGTGATCACCTAAGGGGAGACAGATTAGGAGATAGCTGGATAAATTGTGGTAGGGAGTTGCAGAGGATGGCAGAGGCTCCGGACAAGTCTTGGAGGCGAGCATGGGAGGAGGTGATGAGGGAGCTAGACAGCAGCAGGTCTTGGGAGCAGAAGGGAGGATGGTTTGGGTGAAATCTTGAGATGAGGTTGGTGATGTATTCGGGGGCAGAGTTGTGGATGGCTTTTTTTATGTTGTTGTTAGTATTTTGAATTTTATGCATTGCACTTTTGGAAGCCAGTGGAGGGATTGGCAGAGAGGGGTGGTGGCCACTGAGCGGTTGGTTAGGTTGATGAGTCTGGCAGCAGCATTCATGATACACTGAAGAGGGGACAACCTGTTTAGAGGTAGTCCAATGAGAAGGGGGTTGCAGTAGTTGAGGCAAGAGATGACAAAGGAGTGAGTTAGTAGCTTTGTGGTGTAATTTTTTAATAAGGGACAACGTTTGGAAATGTTACAGTTCTATGAATTAGGCAATTCTATGAATTAATCTGGGAATATAAAAATCCCAAAGTAAACATTTTTTAGAGTTTGGCATGCAACCTCATATCCTCATCAAGTTACTTAGTTGGATTCTACATTACTTGCTGCTTTTGCCCATGATATTAGTAAAGTAGGTAAGGATCAATTCACAACTTCCACCACCCACTGGCTACCACTAACATATTTCAAAATCAATATAATTTTATGTTTCTTATCTTGTGTTCATTGCATTCTATATTCTCTGTTTTCCCAGAAGATACTGTTTGGTGTTCATATCAGGCCGGAATAATATGATGAAACATTTAGGGAGGAACATACAGGTGACGAGAGCCCAAGCAGAGAATATTATAGCAAAAATCTCCATGGCAATGGTGTATTTCCCCTGAGCACTGAGAGAGGCTGGGATAAAGGATATCCAGACACTGAGGAAGGCCAACATGCTGAAAGTGATGAACTTGGTCTCATTGAAGCTATCAGGAAGTCTTCTGGCCAAGAAGGCAACAATGAAGCTTATGGTGGCCAAGAGGCCAAGATAGCCAACCATACACCAGAAAGCAATTGGGGAGCCCTCATTGCACTCCACAATGATGATTCCTGGATAGGTGTGAATGTTGTGTTCTGGGAAAGGAGGTGCAAGGGACATCCATGAAGTGCATAAGATGAACTGCAAGAGGGAGCAACCAAGGATTATAAAGTAGGACACCTGAGGTTTTGCCCATTTTAATAGACCACTTCCTGGTTTTGTGGCAACAAATGCAATAACCACCATTATAGTTTTGGCCAAAACACAGGAAATGCAAAGCGTAAAAACCATCCCAAAGGCAGCCTGGCGAAAAAAACACTTTTTAGATTGGGGGTAACCAATAAACATTAAAGATGACAGGAAGCAGAAAGAAAGAGACACCAGAAGTAGACAGCTTAGTGTGTAGTTATTGGCTTTCACAATAGGTGTATTCTTCTTTTTAAGATAGAGGCCTAAAATGGACAAAGGTATTGTAAACAAGGTGATGGAGAAACCAGTGAGCGTGGCACCAAGTGGCTCCTCAAAGGAAAGAAACTCAAAGGTCTTTGGAAGGCACTTGTCTCTTCTCTGATTTGGCCACATGTCCAATGGGCATTTGTAGCAGTCCAAGGAGTCTAAATAAAACATAATAGTAAAATCTTTAATTGCATGATAGACTCAAACCAAGTCCTACACAAGTTTCCTAACAGATGTAATTATCCAACCATGAAATAGTTTTCTTCCTTAGCTCCACCACTCTGTTTATCTTGAGCATAATCTCACATTTTCTGCTGTTAAACAAAGAGACCACATTGCTGTTTACCTCAAGATTCAGATTTGTTGTGTCACTCCAGGGGACAGCAGTCACATTATAATGTATGTTTGGACAAAAAAAATATGAAGTAAATCTGTTCAATTAGGGATGTCCCGATACAACTTTTTTAAGACCAAGTACAAGTACTGCCCCTCATGTACTTCCCGATACCGTTTACCAATACTTTTTCTTAAAGGGACATGTGACATTTTTTCTAAAACAACACAGACTGATGATTTTAGGGCAGTTTCTCACCAGGGCTAAATACAGATGTCACCAGAACTGAATACATGTCCACACAGCAGAACACATGTCTCTAAGGCAGAATGGCATTCTGTTTTGGGGACATGTATTCTGAGAATAAATGTTCCCAAAGCAGGATACATGGCCGACGGACACAGTCTGGACGTGGAGCCCAGCATCGCCGGTCTGGACGTGGAGGAGGCCAGGCCCCAGCATCACTGGTGAGGTGAAGTGCCCGCAGAGCCACTGCAGATGTCCACGTCTCCCGGGTGAGATCGACACGCAGCCTGGTGAGAGAAATTCTGCTTTGGGGACATGTATTAGCAGAACATATGTCCCCAAAAGTAGAATACATGTCCCCAGGCTGCGTGTCCATCTCACCCGTGCGATGTGGGCATCTGCAGTGGCTCTGCGGGCACTTCACCTCACCAGTGATGCTGGGGCCTGGCCTCCTCCACGTCCAGACCGGTGATGCTAGGTCCTGGCCTCCTCCACGTCCAGACTGTCTCCGTCAGCTGTCCAGCTGACTATCTCCACTGCTGGGCCCCCCGACCTTCATCCATTTCCCGGCCCAGGCCCCCCCTGTCAGTGGGCGGTGGGAACCCCCAGCTTCGAGCCCTGGGACAACCACCCTGGCTGCACCGTCGGTAGTTCCGCCCCCCCAGGGCTGCCCATGGCTGTGCCTGCTCCAGGAAGGACCCCAGCAGGCTACCGAGGTCCCCACAAGCTGGCCGCTGCTGTTTAAAGATTTAAAGAGATGGTATCGTCCTTAAGAAATGGGGCATTTTCACGAGTACAAGTACTCGTGAAAATGCCTGGTATCGGCCCCGATAACGATACTAGTATTTTTCAATACATGCACATTTCTTCATGCTGTGTCTCTTTAAAACTGCACCAATTCCTGAAAATACCTGGTGATCTGCTAGAAATCCATTAAGCTCCTCACCTGTTTGGCCTGACAACACACGTGTCTCTGCTGCACTGTAATCCCAAGCAGTGTTGTCAGTCCTGCGCAGTTCTACTCTACTAGACTACTGAATGCCCCATCTCTCTCTTCATCTCCATAAAATAGAGGGGAGGTGCTCTTTAGTAGAACTGGGCAGGGTTGCTTGTTCTGATGCTATGCCTCAGCTGTTTCTCTTCCAACCCTTGAGAATCTGGTGTAGGGTCTGACTGCTAGTAATGGGCACTGGGAGTAATTGCCAAGATCGTTTGCTCATAACGAGCGCTAAAATAAAAAGAATAACATGCAAGATTTTTTACGTTTTTGTCCCTTTTCAACAATTTTGCCAGTAAAGTTAAATCCAAGCTGCACAAAGCCACAAAGAAAAACATTAGAAATCCCCTAATTCTTCAGAATCTTATTACCAGTTTCATTGGAGATCTCTCCAGGTGGGCAAGGAACACACTGATAGCAGCAGACGGGTTGTCCTCTAATCGTAGCCTTCCGCATCCCAGGAGGACAACTCTCACTGCAGACTGACAAAGGAACCTTACAAAAAAATCAGATATTGTGTTTGATTATTTGAAATAGAACTTTAAATGATATATAAATACAAGGATTCTTCCACACAAGACACAATTTAGAGGGTCAGTCCACTCAAAGTGGTATTTTAGTTATACATGGAATCTCTAATGGGCCTAATCACCCTCTGGCATCTTTTGTTTCTTAGGGACTCCAAAATCAAGATCCACCACCAAATTTCCACCATAATACCTCACTCTGTTCCCATCCATCTTCAAATTTTGGTGTGTTCCTTTTCACACTGTTTCAGCTCCTGCAGCATTTTCTATCCTTGTAATGCTGTAGCTTGGAAACTCAGACATTGGGTTTTCGCCTCAGTCCTCAAAGAAATTAGAGGCCAGTATGTGGTTTGACCAGGGCCGGAGCTAGACTATTTTGCATCCTAGGCAAGACCAGCTACTTGCACCCTCCTCCCAGCCCCCCTCCAGCAGCGCAGCCCCCGATCCCCCGTGCACAGGCCCCATTCTCCTGCCGGCTAACTTCCACAGGCAATAGATGGATGTAAGCAGCTGGGACAATAGCCAGACTGCTATTGGCTATTTTCATTTGAAATAGCCAATAGCAGACTGGCTATTGAAACACTGGCAACTGAGGAGAGGAGCAGACCTGAGAGAGAAAGTTGTCTCTCAGTATTGCTCCTCTGCTCAGTGGGCGGGTGCAATAGACAGCATGCTATTGGCTTTTGCAATTTTAAATGGGGGCGGCACCGTGGGGGGTGAGTGGTCAAGGTTGCGTCCTAGGCAGCAGTGCGCCCTAGACGGCTGCCTAGTTTGCCTAGTGGCAGCACCGGCCCTGGGTTTGACCCCTCAGGACCTATCAAACATAAAATTTAGATCCAGAGGCGAGGAATGGGTGGAGGACCTGGAAAGGAACAGGACAGAATATTGGAGGGTGGCATATGGAGGGTTGAGGTATTACATTATTAGAGGGCTCAGAGGGATAGAAAGGAACCGTAAGAAGGATTTTAGGGCTCCCCAGACCCTCTATCCTCTAAATCAAAATGTTTGGATATCCTGTGGATTCCAGAAAGTGCCACTGAAGAGAGTAGTTTTCCCATCCTCCCACTACAAATGTAATGTTTTAGTTAAGGCTGATAGGAAATGGTAAGACGATTGCCATGTTACCTTAGTGGGATAGAAGGTCTTTGGGGACAGTGGAATGGTTGAGACTGTTACACGATGGGTACCCATCTGGTAGTATGGTGCTTCCCCTTGGTCTACTGTTGATGGTTCTTACCTGGGGAGGCCCAAGGGGGAAGTAAACGTGCTAAATTTTTGTACCATCCTTGGCTCCTTAGAGTTTTTAGCAACCAGTGACACTCTGTCCAGCTTCTGACAACCAGTGAGGTCAGTGAGATGGGCAGGACGCTGACAGCAGCAAGTAATGTGCACTACTAGAATTGCCACCACCCTTCCCCCCTGCCCTCAGGTGGCGATAACCCTAGGGACACTCCTGTTTGTCAGGTAAGATAGTTTGCAAATGTTTTTGTGTATCCTCTTTCTTACAGTTGTGCAATAACACTATTCTTATAGTACCTGGTCCTCCGAGGATGCCCACATAACTTCACTACTGTTGATTGTCAGGATGTCTCCATTAGTTGATGCAGTATCATAGCTTCCAACCTTAACATGCTTTATGAGTCCGTCATCACTTCTCTGCCAGTTGACGATATCGTACACCGCTGGGAGATCTCCATTTTTATCAAAGAAGACCTCTCTGCCATCTTTTAGTCTTACTCGGACATTCTGTATATAGTGGGTCAGCTACACGGATGAAGAAGTCAGCACAACATTACATAACACACTTACTGTGATAGGGTTCTAATGGGTCAGGGCTGGATTTCCAACAAGGCCAACCAAGGCAGCAGGGAATAGAGGGGCAGCAGGGGGGTAGAACTCCTATCTCCCGATGCACGGGACATGCAGTTCCGGGCACCGGGGGGGGGGGGGGGGGGGCATTGTTTTTAAT